TAATACACTTGATTATGGTCTTTACAATCTAATTTATAATATTTCAATGAATCTTAATCCATGGTACATGTCAAATGAAATTAATACTTATAAATGTAATATATCGTACACCAATTAATGCCAATATGATATTTGAAAAAATATCAGCTATTTCTCGTGGTATTGATCAAAGTATTATTTTTAATCTAGGTCATTTTTCAAATGATCCAGATTTGAATAATGAATTTTTATCAAGTGTAAGTATGATTTTATTATAAAAAAAGTACATATTTAAAGTGAATAACTAATAAATATAATTTTCTTCAGGATTGGATATATCAATATTATTGCTGTTTAAGAAGACAAAAAAATTCAGATATAAATGGCATTTTTCTTTCGTTTGATGATACAATGAATTATTTTATGAATTCACCATGTTTTGAACCACAGCAGGGTATTGTTTCGTAATTCAACACGATACTTTATAGTTATATTAATACTTTCAGACACTTCAAATAGTTTTTCTTATGGATCTAATAATGATGATTCTATTCTAACGATTCATCCACGATCATTAAAACTAAATAATATCTATGAATTTAAAACAATCGTTACGAATCGTATAGATCAAACAATACAGTTTTCAAGAACAATTGAAATACATATTCAGAAAGAAGATTCACCTCTTATTATTATTCGGTGAGAGCTAATTAAAATAATCATTAGTTGAATGTTTTTTTTTCTTTTATTTATTTCATAAATAGTTGTCAATTTGATACTTGTCCTTTCAATGATGGATATCAATTACTTAATTTAAACACAGATATTCAACTTACAATATTATGCAAAAATGAATGTAATCAATATCATTTTAATATGATCGTATGGAGTATTTATCAAGGTTTTGAAGCGAATGGAAGTATTTTTTGGAATAAATTTCTAATAGTAAATAATAATAAGATTTGGCTATTTGGTAAGTTCAAATAATATTCATTGTAGCTACTTTTTTTTCTCTACAACAGTTTATTGAGCAACAAATCCGTTGCTGTCATTCAAATTGAATCTCTGTTTAGTAAAATGCAAGAGTAGTCTCTTTGCTATATTTCAAACATAAAAGTATTTAAGGCTTTTGCAGAAGGCTTAATCGCTATTGTGAAGTAAAATCTAAAGGACTGTTCAAGTATAGGAGTAAACAATTGAACTTTCACCGACTATAGATTGTGACAGATGTTTTTGATATACGATCACAGACAGTACATCAACAATGCTTCATGTCAATATATGAATTACTTCTTTATTGTATATCTAATCAAAGAAAAGGAAGATTAAAAGACATTTCCGAAGATATATATAGGATAAAGCAATCTCCCTGTGAATAGCAAAAACAACTGCATCATGCTTCACATTGAAATCCAGTAGGGTCTATACTAAAATTTTGTTGTCGAATTATTGTTTTTTACTTTTCGAATAATTACTAAAAAAATAAGTTATTGATTGTTGTTTTTGTTTTGTTTTGTTATTAGGTGAAAATTCAATGAATTTTACTGTAATGAAGAATTTATTTCAAAATAATCCATTTATTAATTATTGGCGTTTTCAAGTTGCTCTTCAACAGTCAAATAATCGATTAGGATGGATTGCTACTGATTTTCATACAAATCAACCACCATATAACGGTACATGTCGAATAAATCCTTCAACTGGTGATAGAAGTACTTTGTTTACTATTTTATGCTCGGAATGGAATGATGATCATGATATTAGTCATTATTTAGTCTATGGTGCTTATAACATAAAATCTTTGTTTTTTTATCAATAATTAATATCTTGTTTTAGCTTGGATAAATAATCCAAATAATCTAATTTTAATAAGTTTTACAACAGCATCAGAATTTGAAATTTATTTACCGTTGGGTGATCCAAAGTCGCATCTTACAGTGCATTTAATTGTTCATATTTATGATTCTTTTGGAGCAATGACACATTATCCATGACAGAATTCTATGTATCACAAGTGAGCTTCGATAAACTAGAGGTAATAATACCAACTTATATTTTTTGAGAATAATCAATAACGTCTTCTTATACTCAATGCTTTTTTTATGCATGTCTCAATCTTCTTATTATAGGCATCTTTGATCAGATGAAACTTTTGTTGAAATATTGAATTTTAATACTAAGAAAAGAAAACAAGCATAGGTACTATTATTTTCTTCATCTCATTCAAGTTAATTTCAATAATAAAACGAATCAATTCTTAGAGCAACAAGCTAATAGTTTAATTAATAATATAAATCTTGTTCCTACCATACTTGCTTCCTAACAGTACTTACATACTATTTTCATACTGCTATTT